CCCCAAAACCCCAAAACCCCAAAACCCCAAAACCCCAAAACCCCAAAACCCCTCTTCGAAAAAATAATTTTGAAATAATAAAAATATAATAAGTATAATGGCTCAAAATCAAATGAACCCAATCATCAAAAATTTGTTCAAAAAGACAACCGATTTTAATGAAAACTTCCATAAAAATTTGAAAAATATAATTCATCCAAAATTTGCGACAAAGACACAATCTACTGATCCCCAACCGCGAAGGAGATTTAAACCGAATATGCCAGGAAACAGTCTTCATCAAACAACTAATATTCTTTCCACTAGCATTAAGAGTAGTCGAAGTCGTATGCTTAATCCGAGTAGTCCCTTACACCAGAAGATGACTACAAAGAGATTTAAGCCAAATGTGGGAGATGCTATCAGCTCAAACCTCACCTCATCGATGACGAGCTCTCTTCATGGTACGTGTTAACCTTCCAAAAATTAACCTATTAGAACACGTTTCGGATAGTTATTAGTTTGGCCTCCAAATGATTAATCACTAATTTTTCTTCAAGTTTCACCTAATATTGCGGTATAGAGAGCAATGAGATTTTCAGACATCCCCCGTCATCGCCTAGTCTTTCGTACCTCTCGAGTAACACCGATGGCCTTACGAGTGTTTCTCCTCTGAACAGTGTATCCCTGGAGCTTAACAGGGCTAACTTGAGCTCCTCGAATACGTCTAGTACAACTAATTCCCTTCACCTGGACAAGAAAATTCAGAATCTGAGTGACGAGCTATCTGAGAGTCGACTGCAGACCAATGATGAGTCAGTCACCTCTGAGAATGCATCCTCTCCGAGGCATTCTAAGGAGACAGACAATGAGCTATCCTCAACGTATTGAGTTTGAAGATGGTGAAGCAAGCAATTCTTCAGCCTCGACTCTACCAACTCTTTGTGCTATCGCTGTAATATCATGCTTAAAAATCATGACAAGAGAGGAAACAAATGCGATCGAAGTCTTTGTCGAATATGTAGACGGTTAGTCGAGGATAACCGTATACGTAAGGCCCTGAAGTATCAATCAGACCTACAGAAGCAAAGAGAGCAGACCCAAAAGTCTATCTTTGAGCAAGCTAGAGCCAAGATGCTTCAGGACCTTAAGACCGCCTGCGTTTCTGACACCAAATCCGAGCTCAAGTTCGGAGACCTCTTCACTCAGGAGGATACTTTCTTGGCTAAAGTCAGAACGCAGGAGTATATGGAAACTATTTGTTTTTAAATCCCTTAGCCAAGAAGAGAAGGACTGGATGTACAAGGAAGCCCTACTTGTCTACCAGTTTCTTGAAATGGATCTTGAGAAAGCTCAAGAGATCCTTGATTGTTTCAATGTGAAGGAGAAAAAGTCTGGATTCAAAAAAGTAGCACTGGTGCTCCATCCAGATAAAAATAAGCATCCTAAGTCCAAGGAAGCTTTTCAAAAGGCCATGCAGATATTCAATAAGTAATTCTTCTAGTTCAATCTAGTTCTTCAGTTCAGGGGTTTTGGGGTTTTGGGGTTTTGGGG